TGTTTTTTGTAAAGGAAGATTTGTTCTGGAGTCCAATACATTGCAAAAGAATTATCGTAGCCAATCTCCCGAATAGTACCTGTAAATTCAGGACGATATTTCAATTCATGCACTGATTGAAAAAGGTCAATGCCTCTACGAAGTCCTAATTCCCGGTCAGTTTCTGTTTGCTTTGCCTTACGTAAAATATTTTCGTTGTACAAATGCGCGGGAATCTTCAAAATCCATTAGTTCATTAGCTCTCTGTCTACGCCAAGCATAGGTTGACTGAGCAGTAACCTCTTTTGCTACTCGTTGTCTGAGTACACCTCGTAATTGACGCTTTTTTTTATGTTCAATATTTTTTGTATCACTTGTTGAAATTTGCAGCGTGATATGGTCATCTGTTGGTTGGTCTGGCGCGTACAAATTAATTCCTACTCCACATTCGATACATAAACCTTTAATCCATAGCCATGGTTCTCCTGGATTTAAGTTAACTTTTGGATTTTTGAAAGCATAGCAACATGGCAGCCGATGTTCTTGCCACAATTGTTTTTGCATTACATCGGTCCAGCCTTGTCTTAATACATTATACGCCCTACCCTTATAAATTCTACTAACAGGTCGAATACTGTTCCAATCGTCGCCTCAAATAGTAATTGTCGCTCTAAGAGGCACTAACGCGTGTCGGGATATATTCATCGACCAATTTGAATCACCGGTACTATTCATTTCGGAATTAGATATATCGGAAGTTGATGTATTGGCTTTTTGATTAACATTATGAAATTTTCGTAGCATGTCTTGTATTTCGTGGTCATTTCGAGAGATGTACAAATACATGTGTTTAGCTGACATTTTGTTATCCATTTTTATAACTGCCTCATTCCAAACATTATATGCTAACGATTTCAATTTTCCGGCCTCATCAAAAAACATTAGCTCTTTTATCGAATTAAAAATCATTTCAACAGAAAATTTAGCTACACGCGGCATTTTTAAACTTCTTCCGACACCCGAAACCCAAAATTAATCAACAAAGCGTTTAATCAAACAGTATAATAAAAAAGACGAGAGCAGAATAAAAAAGAATAATATCCAGATAAACAGACTTGTTTGCAAAGAAGATTAAAAATACGAGCTATCATAGCACATCTAAGAATTAACCTTAATAACGTTTCACAGAAGAACACAGTGAAGATTATCGACGAAGATGATATAATGACGAATGTGACAAGAAGTGAAAAGAAAAGCGAAAATACCCGCTAGTACATATGTTGTCTTGTGTACAACACGTGTTTGTATGGGTAAGTCTAGTCGATATAAATCATCAAAACATTAAACGGTGCATATCAGGCCACACCGGCTAGAGTTGAGAACGGTTTGGGTCGTAACCGTAACGTCAATTTAGTCTTACGTATACTTGAAAAGTATGGGAACCACCGAGACCCGGGGCGTCCCCTAATATTAAAAAAAAAAGCTGTATTTTGGAAACTGTTGGGGCATAAACGAAATTGAATGCGGTACAAACGATTCTCTATCGAATTCCATCAACAGTTTTGCGATATCTGTATTAATAACGGAGATACACACCTTCAGCGATATTCTAAAGAATCAAAAAATCGCTGTATTTTGGAATCGGTTGAGGTACAAACGAAAACAAAAGTGGTACAAACGGGTACAAACGATTCTCTATCGAATTCCATCTACAGTTTTGCGATATCTGTATTAATAACCGAGATACACACTTTCAGTGGTATTCTCAAAAACCAAAAAATCTCTGTATTTTGGAACCGGTTGAGGTACAAACGAAAACAAAAGTGGTACAAATAGGTACAAACGATTCTCTATCGAATTCCATGTACAGTTTTGCGATATCTGTATTAATAACGGAGATACACACTTTCAGCGGTATTCTCAAAAACCAAAAAATCGCTGTATTTTGGAACCGGTTGAGGTACAAACAAAAACAAAAGTGGTACAAACGGGTACAAACGATTCTCTATCGAATTTCATCAACAGTTTTGCGATATCTGTATTAATAACGAAGATACATACTTTCAGCGGTGTTCTCAAAAACCAAACAATCGCTATATTTTGGAACCGGTTGAGGTACAAACGAAATCGAAAGTGGTACAAACAGGTACAAACGATTCTCTACCGAAAGGTATTAATAAAATTAGAATATCAAAAAGTGGGGTTCCGGCAATTTTTCAAAATTTGAATTTTAAGTTAAGGAAAGAGGGAAACTTTAAGTCCTTAGGTACAAACGAAAGTAAAGGTGGTACAAACGAGTACTCTACAAACGATTACAAACGATTCTCTATCGAATGGTACTAATAAAACCAAAATATCGTAAACTCAGGTTCCAGGTTCACAGAGCTTATGTGAATCACCCTGTATATTACATCTAAATCCTTCTTTCTTACAATGTTCTTTAATATAACATTATCAATATGATAATTGAAAATTATTGGTTTTTTCTTTAATGTAAATGTAATTTTTTCACACTTTGTTACATTGAGGTGGAGCCTATTTTCATTACACCAAGTCAAGAGTCCCTATGAACGCTGTTGTTATGAACGTATCCCCTCCGCAAAGGCCTTGTTGTGACGTCATTGGAAGAATTTGTCATTGGAATATTGTCATTTCTGTTTTTACTTATAGAGTATGTCCCCGGATCGAGTTACAAAGAAGAAAAAAATTTTTGTTACTGATTTTCCAAACATATCTCAGCATAAATAATGCGTCGGATATGTTCAAACCACTAAATCGCACGAACTTTATATTCTAACTATAGAAGTTAACTAATTATCTAGTTAACTATTTTCAAATTCAATTTACGATACGTAACCATAGAAACCAATAAAATAAAATAAAAGTTACAACTTATGTTAGTGAAAAATATACGGACTAATTGAATAAAATATTTTAAATGTAAATTTATGTAATAACACACTATGTAAGTAATAAATATATTATTATTTAAATATATATTTTTGTGTCCGGGTATTTTTCTGGAATTTTTGTATAACTACACGAAAACATGATTCACTAGTACCATAGCACAGTACTAAATAAATTCTCTCTTTCACGGTAAACATCGCATGAAAAGACTTAGTCTCACCAACATAAGTTGTAAGTTTTATAGTTTCTATGGTTACATGTCATAAATTGAACTTGAAAAATTTTCAATTTAGAAAAAAGTCCAATTTTTACATAAAAATTGGAATAATTAGTTAACTTTTATAGTTAGAGTATAAAATTGATGCGATTTAGTAGTTTGAACATATCCGACGCATTATTTATGCTGAGATAGGTTTGAAAAATCAGTAACAAAAATGTTTTCCCTCTTTGTAACTCGATCCGGGGACATACTGTATACGTAAACCAACACAAACTCTTTATTTCTTGAGTTTAATAACACTTGTTTAATTTTTAAATAATTATTAACATAAATACATATTATTATTATATTTATATTAAATTTATATTATGTTATATTTTTCCTCCAATAACGTCATGTTTCCCACCTCACCCCGTCAACGTTAATTTGTTCGAGTTGGATAACCTTATAACCAATACTCAACGGACCTTGGTTTTGGGGCTTCTGCCTGTTATTGCTGACCGCTTGTACCTATTTTCTTATTTGCTTATTTGTTTATTATTATTATTACTATAGGTTTGTTGTATTCATTTTTTTCTCGATTTTTTTCTAATACAACTATATGATTTGATATGTTCATCGCATAGAGGGATTTATCCTCTATTAAAATATGCAAAAAAACATATGCATCCCATTTAAAATAACGATGTTGGTTGCCATAGCAACGAAGCAAAGAACAATGTAAAGAAGTAAGTACTATACTCTTCCACATCCAGATCGGTTTTTATGACAGTCATAAATAAAAGCCGGGGTGATTTTTGCCCGCTCGAGTACCTGAAAAGACTTATGACAGTCATACAAGGACAGGGTAGAACTTAAATTTTTTTAAACTAAAATTTAATAAAAAACCAAAGTTTAGTTATAACAACTAAAATTTAATTATAAAAACAAGTATAAAAGTCTTAGAAAAAATTATTACTTTTAGGAATGTCTAAATAATAGAATAACAAAATTTTAAAGAATCTAATTATTCTCCGCCCTCTTTTGTAAGTAGACAATGCATGCCTCCTCAAAACATTTAGAAAAAAATATGTACTTAATATTAGAAACACAACAAATAAGAGAATAATGAGTATTTATATATGACCCTATTATTTTTCTTGCCTTAATGCCGCCCTGAGTGAGGAATCCCAGTATTTTACAACGGGGAATTACCTGTTACAACCCCGTCTTTCTTAGTTTTACAACTACAGTAGGAAAGTAACAGAGTCATAAAAACCGATCGCCGTGTGGAAGACTATACTAAGAAATGCGCCACAACTAATAAAGAATTTTTTATTTGAAACATTTTTCTTTAAAACCACTAATGGCGAAGTTATTGGCTATATTACAGACATTTGACACACCCTGTATAATAAAAGAAAAAGAACATTCTCTATAAATAAACAAAATCATTTTGCATCTCTAAAATAAAATAAATTAAAAAAAATGGAAGGGATAAGAAAAAAGAAAAAAAAGGACACTCTAATCTAACGTCAGCACTTCAGGTTCGAAATTTATTTATTCACAAGATATTTATTTAGAAATATCTAATATTAAATTGTTAACTAAATTAACTAAGTACTACGGAAATAGGAAATACGGTTTATTAGTTTTCAACAAAGTCCATTTTGCGTAAATATAAACATTTTCAAGTTCTTATCGTAACAAAGTAATGTAAAATATGTTAAGTGAAACTAGAAAACCAACCGTTCAGTACGTAAAATCTGAATGTTCCATCACTACACGTTATTTTCCTTCTACTTTAACGGATAGTTTTAATAATTATCACCGAGATGATTTTGAAGCCAAAAAAAGGTGAAAACGGTCAAGAAATTAATTTAAACGTGAAAAATGTCGTGCTCAAAGAATGCCTAGGTATTCGTCACGTACAAATTTTAATGGTATTCCTGCTAACTTTTATATCGTTCGGTATGAAAGTAAATCTTTCGATTGGGATCGTTGCAATAACGGATGACAAAGTGAATCCGGGAATTCCGGTAAGTATAAGTTAAAACTTTAAAGTATAAAATTTAAAATCAGTTTTTTAGACATTCCACTGGAATACAGAAGAGAAAGGTTTATTACTATCAGCGATTTTCGTAGGCTATGTTCTGCCACAAATTTTCGCAGGGATTTTAGCAAAAAGATACGGTTCCAAGTGGATACTTACATTTTCGATGGGATTCTGTGCTTTATTTACTTGCGCTATCCCGAAATCTGCTGAATTTGGTGTTTGGGCGTGCATTTTGTGTCGATTTTTACAAGGTTTTTGTCAAGGATTCTTTTTTCCATGTGTGCATAATTTGATAAGTTTATGGATACCTTGCAATGAACGATCTACAATGGGTTCTTTTATTTATTCCGGTAAAAAAGTTTAATATTATTATTTAATAGGCAACTTAAATAACGTTATAAATTATATTTTTTTAGGTTGTACCCTTGGAATTGTAATTGGCATGTTATTAACAGGCGAATTATCTGCGTCTATTTACGGTTGGCCAAGCGCATTTTACATTTACGCATTATTTGGATTTATCTGGATGTTTGTTTGGGCGTTTTTCGGCGAGAGTTCACCTAAAAACCATAAGAATATATCCATCGAAGAAAAACTGTACATCATAAACAGTTACGGCTATTCTTGTACCGATAAATCAAAGAAAATCTTAACGCCTTGGAAGGAAATTTTTATTTCGCGTCCTTTTTGGGGCCTTTTAATTGTTCATTGCGGACAAATGTGGAGTTATTTTACATTAATGAACGAACTTCCAACATATATGAATACAATTTTGAAATTTGATATTAAAGAAAACGGGGTTGTTATAGCTTTAGCTTATTTTGTTGCTTGGATAGCTTCTTTTCCGTTTGCTATCGGTACGGATTTTATTATAAATAGGAAAATGTTGAGTATTGGAAATGCAAGAAAAATTGCGACATCGATTGGTTTATTCGGGCCAGCTATAATTTTTTTAATCATATCTGGAGTTGATGACTTAACTACTATAAAGGTTGTTGTTTTAATAATGATCGGTTTAAGCATGAATTCAGCTACACTTTCGGGGTTTCAATTAAACCATATCGATATATCTCAAAATCACGCTGGCACTTTAATGGGAATCACAAATAGTTGCGCTAATTTATGTGGAATTATCACGCCGATAATTGTTGATATAATCGTAGTTGATGAGTACGATTCGACTCAGTGGGATGAAATTTTTTTACTCTCAGCTGGAATTTACTTAATATCTGGCATGTTTTACATAGCTTTTGGATCTGGAGAAATTCAAGAATGGGATAAAATCTAGTGATATAAGGAAATGTTATACAAGTTATTTTCGTTATAAGTCCGGTAGGTGACTTGTAACAGTACGAGTTATTATTTGAGTATACATACTATTTAACGGGTACTATTACAAGACCTAGCGGACATGTATCGTATAACATTTTATTTTATACTGTCGAGTCCGGTTAAACAGCAATTACGATAATATAACATTTACTTATTTCAAAATTTAAAAATGACATTATAGTTTGACACTTACCGGACTTTGATGATGTAAACATCAATATACAAGAAACTGTCATTTTTAATTTTTATTATAAAATATAATAAAATAATAGTAGTCGTTTCGTTTTAACATCATAAAAAAGTACTTACAAACATAATACCTACTTAGATGAATATGATGAAAATGGTCACCGGAACACCTTGAAACACCTGTCTATTTGAAGCAATTTATTACAATATCACCTAATGGCTATTATTTAGTACCAATTCGGATTGCAAACTCGGGGAGAGGACAGTACGTTACCTGTCTGGAACGCAGCATCTTTTTTGATTGGACGGAACCTCCCTCACCCCGCATAGCTTATTTCTGTTTCTTTTTATAAATTAAAATTCGCTTCACTAACATTCACTAAGCTTCGGTGAACGGAGTCGATGTCAGCGTCGCTTAGTAGGCAGGAGGAATATTACTTTAAAAAATCGTATCTCACGATCGAAATGAGATATCAGAATGAATAGGAACCAAATTAAAAACAATTTAATTGACGATAAATGAGTTGAAAATTAATTTCGTGTTTCTGCAAATTTAGGGCATATGTATACCAAGATTAGGAGTCTGTCTTAAAAATCGATGATTTTTTTTAATCGATAGGAAATGAGTCAAAAGAGGCGTTAATGATAAAAAAAAGTGCGGAAAAGTGTAGTACTTACCGAAAAATCACTTTAAAGTTGCGATTTGACGTTTCGTTTTGGAAGTTAAAAGCAATGTTAAATATACATTTTCGTACTAAATCCTAACCTGAAATTGTTTAATTTATACCCACGCACAAAATAAAAAGTTATTTATAAACTTATTGAGATTACAACATATTTTCGGATGAAAACCTTATTTCTTAGGCTATCAATGCATAACGACAATTACCTGTCGTTAGAATTGTTTCTACCAAATGTGTGTTAATAGCAGGGACTAAGAACGGAACGAAAACGAGAACGAAAGAACGAAATGAACCGAATAATTTATAAGAACGAAAACGGAAACAAAAACGAAATTTTTATTTTTCGTTCATGATTGAAAACGAAATAAATAATTTCGGTTACCGGTTTTAACCGGTTTAATGACACAATATTTTTGTAACCTACTCCTAGTAGACATATCGGGGATGCAAGTTTAAGAAAATTTATTGGAAGATGTCTTGCTTCTTAGATTAAATAGTTACAATTAATTTTTATATAAATATATTCATATATACTAAAATTAATAATTATCCTGTGATTTACTTTAGAATATATCTTTAATTTAATTAACTAAAATTTTTATTTATTTTGGAATGCTGAATTATTTATATACAGGTGATTCACATAAGAACCGACATAGAACAGGGACATGTAGAGGATAATAAATTATGACGATTTAACTCAACTTATCTCTATACTAAATTGTACTCCTGAGGAGTTATAGGTCTTCAAAGTTGGGTCTTAAATTTTTAAAACATTGAATATCTTCGTAATACATTAAGTTAGAAAAACCAAATTTGGTATACGTTATGAGTGTACCGAGGGTATTAATTGGTAGCAAGTTGAGACCAATTGAGGCATTTGAAAGGGTTGATTACGGGTGATGGTCCCCTAAATTTTGACAGATTCTTTTAACCTTTTGGTGGATTTAACACATTATTACCTGATTTCATGTGGAATTTAATTCTAAAACTTTTTTTACTCTTATTATTTTTTAAAAACATTGTCGTTTTCATAGAAAACTTAAATAATTAAACCCAAGTATTTCGTAATGTTGCTTAAAATAAGCGAAAATTCAGTAGTCGGCTATGAAATGTATTACGAAGATATTGAACTTTTTAAAAATTTAAGAGCCAACTTTGAAGACCTATAACTCCTCAGGGGTACAACTTAGTATAGAAGTAAGTTACGTTAAATCATCTTAATTTATTGTCCTCTACATGTCCCTGCTCTGTGTCGGTTCTTATGTGAATCACCCTGTATATTTTTACTATAAAATAAATATGTTAAAAATTTTTTTCTCTTATTTTTAATAATAATAATAACTTTATTTACAAATAACCAAAAATTAACCATAACACAAAATTTTTAAATAAGTAAAAGTTAATTGNCTTGTATTCGATGTTAAGAACGTGTTTAAACATCCATAGACAAAAATTGTCACATTGACAACTAGAAAAATTAATGACCCAATGTCACCAACTTGAACTGGTTCCATAAAATGTTACTAAAATCTCATTACAGCATCGGATGCTGTAAGGAGTCTCATTACAGCACCCGTTTGAGTACTGTTATAGCTTCCATTATCGTAGCGAATTACAAAAATGTCTTTTACGTCCGGACGCAAAAGACTTTTACGTCCAGCTACGACAATCAAAGAATTTGATATTATTAATTGTTAATATATTGTTATTAACAAATTATAAACACAAAATAATCAACATTTAATTGTTTTATCAATTCATTTCACGTTTAAATGCAAATTTATAATAGTACATTAATTTGTTCAATAAGTGAGGTTAAATCGATGTGACGTTAAGTTTTTGACATAACATTAAATGAATTCTAAATGTCATTATACAGAATTTGGTCTTTTTATTAATTTATAACTTTAGAATACGCAGTTTTCGAAAAAATGTTGTTTGATACACGACAGCGTAATTCTTTTGCATTCTCAAACGATTTCTTTTTGCTGGCTAAAGTTCGCAAAAAAAACTTTCGTTCTCGAATGCAAAAGTGTCATTTCGCTATCTTATATCAAAAATAACTATTAAAGTTGCGATTTGACGTTTCGTTTTGGAAGTTAAAAGCAATGTTAAATATACATTTTCGTATTAAATCCTAACCTGAAATTGTTTAATTTATACCCACGCACAAAATAAAAAGTTATTTTCACTAAACCTATTGAGATGACAACATATTTTCGGATGAAAACCTTATTTCTTAGGCTATCAATGCATAACGACAATTACCTGTCGTTAGATAGAATTGTTTCTACCAAATGTGTGTTAATAGACTTTGTGTTAATAGATTGTGTATCAATTGATCTGTCAAACGATTGAAATATCTTTATATTGTAAATATAAATGATAAATAAGTATAATAGCTTATTTAATAGTACCTTACTTAAGTTCAAATAGTTAATTAATTAAAAATTGATATTAAAAAAGACGTGTACATGGTTACAAAATAACAATAAAAAAATAACCCGTGTGACGATGGCAACAAACTGTGTGTTTAACCAAATGACAATTACAACTGACAACACAAGCAATGTTAACCGTGTATTTTCGTATTAAATGCTAACGTCAAATTGTTTAATTTATACCCACGCACAAAATAAAAAGTTATTTTCACTAAACTTGTTGAGATTACAACATAATTATTCATAATGACACCTATGTGAAGTTAGCCCCCAATTAAATAGCATTTTACATGTACATATAGTATTTTGATTATAACATGAGAACCAGTGAACCGATTTCGATAAACAATATCTCATTCGTAAGCTTAAACCTTGGCCAATACGAAAGTGGAAATGCAAGATTCGAAATCTCTTTCAAATTTCGCTAAAACGCCAAAATAATGCGAAGATACGCGAAAATAACATAAAATTGATCTTCTTTAAATGGTGATAACTCGTAAACGATGTACCCGATAATCAAGATTTATACGTCATTCGATTCGTCATAGTGTCTTCTATCGAAATCACAAAATGCCCGATTTTAATTCTCTACCGCTAACTTTATACAGCCCTCGGAATGACACCGTTCCGGCTGTTGTTTATGCACGTGTGAACGCTCGAAAGTCTAGCCCACAATATAAAAAAATTAATTNTCACCACTTAAAATGCAGTTGATTGAAATTTTTAACATTTAAGTTTTTAAAAGCATAAATTTTATGTTAGTAATTTTTGCCAGCTATGATTAAAATTATGACAAGTGACTTATTTGTCAAATATAAAAAAAAAATAAAAAAAGCATGTTGGCATACTTGTATTAGAAAAATAGTAAAAAACCGGTTTTAACCGTTATTTCATTTCGGTTCACGAAAATGAAAACGATATTTTTTGGGTGTGAACGAAAAGAACGAAAACGAAATTTTTCGTTTTCGTTCTAATCGGAAGCGAACAAAATACTTTTCGTTTTTAGTCCCTGATTAATAGACTTTGTGTTAATAGATTGTGTATCAATTGATCTGTCAAACAAATGAAATATCTTTATATTGTAAATATAAATGATAAATAAGTATAATAGCTTATTTAATAGTACCTTACTTAAGTTAAAATAGTTAATTATTAATTAAAAATTGATATTAAAAAAAACGTGTACATGGTTACAAAATAACAATAAAAAAATAACCCGTGTGACGATGGCAACAAACTGTGCATTTAACCAAATGACAATTACCTACAACTGACAACACAAACAATGTTAACCGTGTATTTTCACACAATATTAACAATGTTTTCTTTAAGTGGTGATAACTCGTAAACGATGTACCCGATGATCATATAGTGTCTTCTATCGAAATCACAAAATGCCCAATTTCAATTCTCTACCTCTAACTTTATACAGCCCTCGGAATGACACCGTTCCGGCTGTTGTTTATGCACGTGTGAACGCTCGAAAAGTCTAGCCCACAATATAAAAAAATTAATTTAAATTAAATCGACTATAATTAGAGAACAGTTTGACGGATTTTAATGTTTTATATCTCAATCGAAAGTTTGTGTTTGGCTGAATGCTGTTGTCGAAATGCCCGATTCGAAATATTTAAGGATTTTGATTAAAATACAACAAACGAATTAATTAAACACATTAAACATCTCGATTGAAAATATGATCTACAATGAATGCGAAGGTGGAAATGCCAGATTTCAAAATTTACTAATTATGTGCGTACAGCCATTGAAATGACCTCGCGAGAGATTTCGAATCGGGCATTTCCACTTTCGTATTGGTCAAAGATAAAGCTTTCGAATGAGATATTGTTGATCGAAATCGGTTGACTGGTTTTCTTGTTATAATCAAAATACTATACATGTAAAATCCTATCTAATTGGGGACTAGGAAAATTTGGAGCTAACCTCGCATAGGTCATAATAACTAAGTACCTGTCGTTAGATAGACTGTGTGTCTATTAACTATGTACAGATAGGAGCAGAGATAGATTCGGAAAAAAAATTGAATAAAATATAAGATACAAATAGATTCTAAAAATCTATTTGAAATGTTAATAATCTGTTATCGCATTTAAATAGAGAGCATGAGAGCTAAATAAGTTTAGAATTGAGATTCACACTTTTTAAATTTGACATAATATTAATTTAATTTTTTAAATTTGTTATTAAAAGACTTCAAACCACTTAAATATTATAATTAGGATACTTATTAGTTAGTTTAACGTTATTTTGGAACTTAATAACACATATTATTGATGAAAATCCCTTCCGTACTTAGAAAGTTTTAACATCAAAAGTTCATAACGTAGGGTGAAATATTCGTCAAATCCTTTGGTCAAATCTGAATGAGAAGAAAAATAAACCTTATTTTGGAGAAATTCAAAAGATTAAGGTAGAAATGCAATTGATGGGTACTTGTGGGTGTGCAATGGGCACGTTTCCACTCGGAAACAAAAAAGAAGGAAGTGCGGTAAGGTTGTATCGTTTCGAAAAGGTAACTTTTTTGCATATTTTAAGTTACAAACCCATCGAATCCACCTGGCCTCATGCGAAAAGTAGTATATCAACATCTGGCCGTACTAAAAGTCATCTCTCAGGGAATCTTGCCAGATATATTTTCCACAAATCGTGCACAGCGAAGAAGCTTGATAAGGCGGCCGAATTTTATCGAATAGCTGCGATTATGTAAGTACGACCCTATGAAGCCAGCTGAGCAACGGGACCTGGAGGAAATCGCAAATGAGTATCCATCCGATAACGAACCTTAAATTTTTCTATTACAAATTATAAAGTATATCTAGTTATACTTTATTTTTGGTTTGCGTCTCTGTTCACTTCCTCGTAGTGCAACCTGAGTAACGCTAAGAAAAAAATAAACAATAGTCATCAATTGTAAAAACAGATTGAGTTCCTATAAATAGTTATTCTTATTGTTATAGCTGATGTTTATATTTGACCTACACCCTAGTTTAAACGTAAATTAATCTAACTCAAAATCTAATTTCTATACAAAATTCTTATTTGGGCGATTTTACATCGATAAAAGCAAGATTGACGATTTTTAAGCAACATGTATATTGTAAAATTATACCAAGATGGGTTTATGGAAAAGTTGAACTTGTTCATTCATAAGTAGTTAGTTATTATTATTTTTATAATTTGTTACACGAATGTAAAAGCTCAACTCCTCCATAATTTATATTATGTTCAGTCTTTATGTGGTGCTTAAAAATATTGGAATTTTCTTTAGTTTTATGTTTACGAATTATAGTTTCCAGCCTCCTCCACATTTGTCCGATAGCAACAAACTTTCCAGCAACAAACTTGTATCCGTAATTTTCTATCTTCTTTCTTAGATGATATCTTTCTTATCATTAGAGAGAGCGAAGAACTAAATGCGCCATTTAAAAGCTTGATTCTTTCTCTATGAAATCGTTGGTCCTCGCTTGCCGATATGTTGATATTAAGATCAATAAAAGATGAAGAACACCGCTCTGTACGTAAAATACATAGCTTAATATTACCAAACTTCAAGCCCTTGTGCAATTGTTATCAAACCGAATTTTAAAAATTCTATCTCTAATAATAAGAAAGATATCAGCTAATAAAATAGATAGGAAATTACGGGTAAAAGTTTGTTGTTGGAAGGTTTGTTGCTATCGTCACAAGACTCACAAGGGTTATTTATTTATTTTTATTTTGTAACCATGTATAACCATGTGTAACACATGTCTTTTTTAATAACTATTTTAATTTAAGTAAACTACTATTAAATAAGCTACTATACTTATTTATATTTACAACATAAAGATATTTCAGTCGTTTGACAGATCAATTGATACACAATCTATTAACACAAAGTCTATTAACACACATTTGGTAGAAACAATTCTATCTAACGACAGNATTTTCGGTGAATTATTGTATTAATAATAAGCGGATCATCTTTAGAATCGTTCAACGGTTATTTCATGATATTTGTAAATGTTTGAAATCGGTTTGGTCGGTCTACGATTTCTAATTCCGCATCATAAAAAATAGTCGCTATACGGTAGCTCGACGGTAGCTCGCTGGCTGCTGAAACTTCCTCGGGACGGTCGGCTGGACTGATAGAAACATGTGGCTTGTCGTATCTTGTTTGGAAATTTGTTAGTTTCGGCATTATTTAATTATTTGATAATAATTTTTCGGAAAGCACATGTTTTCGTGATTCAGCAATTTTATTAATCACTTTCATTTATTGATGATTCGGTCAGGGAACGTTGTTGGAATTTAAGATAACGGTTTCGAAATGGAAAACGGAGAAAATCAAAGTCTAATTAAGAAAATAATCAAAATTAATAAAATGTAAAATGGGTTGCATAAATGGGCGGTGATAAGGAGATAAGATATCTTTTTCGGAATTTCTGCAAATCGGATGGAAACTGTAACGTATCGAGGTAGTGTGGGAAGTATACTCGGATATATTTAATTTTCGGTAATTTTTTGGAATATTCGGTTTTTGAAAAATAAAAATAATGTAACTTCGTTACAATCTGAAGGCAAAAGTGCGAGAGAACAATATTGTTAAGAATAAAATTTGCTACATCTTTCTAAAAGTCTTTTTGTAATACGCTCTGATATCCCAATGTTACCATTAATAACTTGTAAAACAACGAAATTCATCAAATTGCAACAGGAAAAGAAAACAATAAAATTGACTACAACTTTTGTTCTAAAAGTTTTCTTGTAGACTCCCGAGTATTACTATTAATAACTTAAAAAAAGAACAAATTATCGAATATTTAAGCAAATATACAAGAGAGCAAAATTATTAAGAATAAAGTTTGTTGCAACTTTTGTTGTTAAAGTTTTTTATAACATGCTCCCATTCCCTAGTGTTACCATTAACATCTTGTAAAACTAATAATTTTTTTACTGCTGAGTGAAAACCTAGGGAATTCGTTCGTCGTGAATAATTTCTGGATGTTGATGTTGTAATTTTTTTATCATTTCATGTTCGATAGTTTTGATCCAAGTGTTTTCGATTGTTTCTAAATCTTTAAATTCGCCTGGTTCATATTCTATTTGAAGTTAGTAATTTTTGTCAAACTTTTTCTATAATTTTTGTGTGATTTAGAATAAACTGAATCTGCTTATTCAGATCTTAGGAAAATGATCTTAACCTGCAAGTTCCAGGTGTATAACTCATGTATAAATATTGAGCTGAACACGGTATCGTTCTATTCTTAATATTCCGCACATTTTGAACAATTTCTACAAAATCACAATTATTTGTTCGGCTATCTTATCTAAAATTATAAACCCGATTTACATAACTCTTATTTAAAAAATTCAAACACAGCCGTAAAATTTTTATTTACGTTAACAATTAGCAACTCTTCCTTTCCTTTCACTTCACTTTCTTTTATAAATCATTCAGTTATAGAAAAAAAGTTTATCGGCTTATTATTAACGAATTCCGAACGCGATTTATAAAAACAATGAGTTTTCATTCAGTTAACAATTAAGCAAAAACGAATTCGCTCGAAATCGTTTATAACAATAAACTCGTTCGGTGAACTTGCTGCTGGCTCGACAATAACAAACGGTTTCTCCCCGTAAAGAGACCGAACGACGCCACACGTAGTGAAAGTACGATGATAAGCGCGCGGAGAAAGGCCAAGGGAAAATTTCTTCAACAGTCGTCGTCAAAAATCGGAATAATTCAATAGCGGTTTATTCTCGAAGAAGAAAACCTTTAAGTAATCTGCACGAACAAGTACAGTTATAATTTGATACAAGAAATGAGTAAGGTAATGAATTATTATTTAAATAATTTTTTTATAATTAATTTTTGACGGCGTTTTTTTTTAAGATGTTAATTACTATATTAGATAAATTCGTGTATATTTTGGTTTGTACCGCGATTACAACTCAAGCGTTACAAATGGTTGGGCTTATTGAAGGACCAAAAGCTCTCGGTGAAATTAATTATGAAATAAATAATGGCAATTATGAATTTGGATTAAGAATGGGCGATGAAGAAAATCGAGGAAAACGACATACAGAGTCAAATACGGCGATTATGAATAACATTTTGAATGTACATTTTTCTTTATTTCAATTTTAAGTAATCACACTGAATTTATTTTAGCTTCCAATGGATACCCTTCAAGCTTTCGAGAATTTCTTAAAAAACGCTAAACCAGCTTTGGATAAATTGCACGAAATTGCTGAGAAACGAATGAAACAAGCTACCAAAGTGCAAATTAACGACCAAATTCATCAACAACAAAGACTTATTAGGCGATATAAATGAAGCTTTAGATAATGTTTTTAAATTAGATTTAAATTATTGTTTTTATTTGTTGTAGCGTTACATGATGTACCTTGCCAAATATTGTTATTCGTATAAGTAAGTTTTTATAAAATTACTTGGTAATAAAATTTTCTTATATTACGTTATTTTATAATTATTTTAGAACAATAACATGTCAAACAATAACAAAAAAATCCCTGTATGTATGTAGATTGGCTTAATGTCATGCCTAGCTGAGAAATCATGTCTTACAGAAATCTTCTATAATCGAACATACAGTGTTGGATTAAATCTTTTATCGAGTACATCAATCAAATTCGCCTTAAAATGTTTTTAATATCTTGATGATATTTCAATTCGTTCACGAGATACGATGTTCTAAAAATTTGTATTTCATATCAATAACGTCAAACATGCAGACTTGGATTTAAATAATCATAACAAAGATAATTATGAAAAATAAGAAATGTTTATGGCAGATTAAATATACAGTAAATTTGCTTTAAAAGTTTACTATTTCATGATGATATCTCAATTCGTTTTTGACCTACGATTTTATAAAATTTGAATTTCATAACAATCAAACATGCAGACTTGGATTTAAAAGCTATAACAACGATGATTATGGAAAACAGGAGCAGAATTATTTATGGTGCATTAAATCTTCATCAAATTTGTATTCACATATTTTTTATTTTATGTAGATATCTCAATTCGTTCTTGAGGTACCATTTTTTTAAATTAATATATCATATCTAACAATCAAACATATGTACACAATATGTAGTTGGATTTAAAAAACCTTTTAATTTTTTATTTTAAAGTTCTTTGAATTTAAATGCAACTTTGCACAATTATCTCTCGAAAACTAATCGAGATTTTTTAATTGAAATCGTTAAATAAGCCTACATAAATGAAATCTCGTAAGTTTAGTGTAATAATTTTTGAACATAACCTAAATACAGTTATTTAAATCATGTCTGGAAAGTTGTTTATTGCAGGCGAGGAATATTAAGAGTACGAGGCCCTAGGCCATTAAATAAATTTGTATTTAATCATTGGATTGAAATTTTATTTTGTTTTATTTGTTGTTATAAAAGTCGGTAAAGTAGAATTAGTAGATATTGGACATCTGTTATCAACGAAATTAATTAGACACAAAATATTGTTTATTTTATTACAATTCGTAATAATTATAATGTAACACAATATATATAATTTTACATATAACGTAAAACAATAGTTTATAAAAATAATTGTAATGTAGATTTAATTTAGAGTTGAAGAATAAAAATGGCCGGTAAAGAAGAAATTTACGTTTCGAGCGAAATTATTTAAAATAAACTTAATTAATACGAAATAATTTGTTGTTAATTTACACACTACAAACAAAACGATTATTTAAAATTTCATCTAAAATTAAAAGTATTTCATCAAATTTAGGTGTAATAATTTTAAATTTGGCGGTACAATATCATTTCCGTTTTCGCAAGTACAATCAGCGCCACTTTCGGCAAAAAACGTTGTCACCCGGTGACATTTCCGTTCGGTCGTGTCGGCTTTTTTGATGTGCCGCGTCTCGATCCGTCATTATAATCGTAAGTTAACGTTCCAGAAGGCTCAGAATCAAATCGTAAGTTGACGCACGGCTCGGCCCCACAATCAGTAAAGCACCGCGTTATTACGAATCCGCAACGGCCCCCGCGGACACAACCAAAATGCCATCGGCGGCTAACGTCAAAATTGACAAGCAGCAAATCGCCGGCGAGGGTTCTACCAACGCTACGGTCGTGGTGGGCGACCCCTCAGTTACTGGCCCCAATTCAACAAACCCCTTACGACAAGCCATCATCACCATCGAACATAAAATACGAAATTTAGAGAAACGAAAGGTGAATTTTTCTTATTTTGGTTGTGAAAGTTTGAGTGTTTGTCCTCGCCGCTGTTACTCGCCCAATTACTTTAATATAAATGCAATATTTTTTATTACTTAATTATTTTAGGCAAAATTAATATCATATAAACAACTACAAAGTTCTGGAAAGGAACTGAATCAAGATCAAAAGACGGCGATAGCGAAATTTGACGAAGTTGTACAAACGCTGGATTTTGCTCGCGATTTATGCAAGCAATTTATTGGATTGGCGCTTGTTTCTGAAAAGGAAGCGAAAAAGCAAGCGCGGAAAGATGCTTTGGCAAAAAGTCAATCTGAATTGGCCAAAGTGCGTGAAGTACTTCTTGTGCAGGACGCCTTAACTCAAATGGGACAAGAAAATATTAGGGACGATTTTCTACATGGAAGGAATGGTGCTGCACAACTCAGCGAGACTGATTTGAAGTACCTAATTGATTTTCTAAGAAAGTAAATTACCTATTATTTAAATTTAATATAATTTTTTTTATAGATTATTAGACGATTTGTATACGAATGTAACTCCCAAGCATGAACCGGGTGATTCTCAAATATTTTGCACCCAAATTCAAGGCGCTGCAGAACATTTGCTTGCTGTTGTTGATGGTAAACCAAAGGAAATCTTTGGAAGCACTTACGGACATATAAAAGACATCATTGGGAAGATTCACGAAAGCGGATATTTCGATCAATCCCAGGTTATTAATTTATAATAAATAAATTTCGTAAATATTTGAATTGATTTTTAGCAGGAACAATTTGTTGAAGTTGTTGATGTTGAAACCGAAGAAGGCGTCGTTGAAGCCACCCCTTCGTTGGAAATAATTAACCATGAGATGATTGAATCGATTGACTCGATTACGATCGAGGCTCGGCCGCCACCGCCGCTACCCGTAGTTCAACCTTTAACGCCTGTTCAACCACCGCAACCGGTTGAGCCACCTCCGATGGTGCCGGTAATTCCGGCCGATCAACAACCTATTTATTATGCTGCCGCTCCGCAACATCAGCCCCCCCAACAACCGCAACAGCAACCACAACAACCACCTCCAAGACCACTTTCCGATGTCTTAGGAAATGGAAGCTTCACTTTTTTGCAGGTTGCTAATAATCTATCTAAACGTTTTTTTCTATTTCATTCTTTTCAGTTTTACTATGTAAACCTTCAATATTTAAACTGTTTTCATTAAATTAATATTTCACCTCTTATTAAGGGCGACGCGTTTATACGTTTGGAGATTTTTTCATTTAATTTAATTAACATTTTGTTCATTCATTTCATAATGGTTTATACTATAAAAATATATAGGTGTATCTAAATGACGTTCCCAAACTTCAGGCAGTGATTCTTTAGCAAATTTTAAGGGTACTTTCTTATATGAATTATGAGTAACTTTGACTCCTCTGGGGAGCTAAGACCCATTCAAAAATGGCGGAAAATTTTGGTTTCATTTTTTTTTTCCCTTCGAAAACCATCAATATCTTTAAGGAGAAAACAAAAAAGAGAAAAAGGTACAATCAAAGAATGAGCTTTACAACTCATATTCTTTTATGATAATTAATTAATTCCATGGCGTTAAAAAGTTCTTATAAAAAATTTCATGAATTTCATCCCCTTAGAGGGCGCTAGAGAAAGGTCTGAAGGTTTACTTAAAGCCGAAATAAAAAATAAAATGTAATTTTTTGTCTGTCCCAATAAACGAATATAGTGAGTCGTTGTTTTAAGTATCTGCACCTAGGAATGTTTCTAATAAATTTGTTGATGTCGGAATAAGCGGTATACTTTAACCCATATAAATTAGAAGATGACCCTTTGATCATCATCATAATCTTTTCAACGCTATGTCGTTGTAGAGTTCCAGGTTTGATACCATACTTGGCAGCGACTTTTCGTTTAAACAATACCCTCGAACTAACTTCAGATACGGCGATCTTAATCTTTTCTTCACCTATATTTTCAGTATTCTGCGGTATGTCAACATCTAAAGTGCTTCCAGTTTACTTATTGCACTTTTTTTCAAGATCCACTCTTCCGGTTCATATACAGGTAAATGAAAGGTATCCATCCCTACCTTTTACACATTAAAGACAGGAATAATAGAAAGGAAAAATTAGCAGGACAGTTGCACTGACCTCTAACGGCTCTAAATTTCATTATCGTTGTTTATGGTTTTTGGGAAAAAAAATTCAACCTAAATTTGCCGACATTTTTGAAGGGGCGTAGTTCCCCAGGGGAGTCGTAGTCACTCATAGTTCATATAAGAAAGTACCCTTAAAATTGACTAAATAATCACCACCAGAAGTTTGGAAACGTCATTCAGATACATCCCTGTATATGAATATTAATTGGAATTATTATTAAACGTGCAAGTAACTTATTATAAAGGGATACCTTTACACGTTAAAGACAGAAAAAATTAGTAGCGCCAGGAATCGAACTCAGGTCTCTCGTTAGCCGTTAGAGGTCAGTGCAACCGTCTGGCTAACGGGAGACCTGGGTTCGATTCCCGGCGCTGCTAATTTTTCCTTTCTATTATTCCTGTCTTTAACGTCTAAAAGGTATCCATCCCTCCTTTCATTTATAATATGTTACTTACACGTTTAATAATAATTCCAATTAATATTCATATACAGAATGTATCTGAATGACGTTTCCAAACTTCAGGTGGTGATTCTTTAGCAAATTTTAAGGGTACTTTCTTATATGAACTGTGAGCGACTACGACTCCCCTGGGGAACCACGCCCCTTCAAAAATTTTTTTTCTCTAAAACCATAGTGGGGCACGTTTCCAGCCTATTTGTACTTTCAATCTTCCCTTTTAAGTTACTAGTTTAAAGAACGAATTTAATTTACGAAAAATTTCGTTTATTAGATAATGAAAATATTTTTGAAAAAAATTTCGAAGGCTATTAAGATTTTTTTCATTAAAAATTCATTCCAACTTTCGATTAACAACCCTACAGGTTAGCAGTTAGTGTTTGCTTATTTCATTTTTTTCTCAGAAATTATTACATTTTCGAAGAACATTAAAGAGACAAAAAGTTTTGGAATATTTTTATCTATCTAACTGAAATTTTTCCAATGTATTTATAATTTTAGTAAAAAAAAATCTAGGCATAACTTGAACGGGGCGGTTATGTTTAGTAACTTAGAAGGGAATACTGAAAGTACAAATAAGCTAGAAACGTGCCCTATTATCAGCTAAACTTATTCAAAAAATTTCATTTTCCTGTTGTTTATAGTTCTTGAGAAAAAAAAATGAAGCTCACATTTTCTACCATTTTTGGAGGGACGTAGCTGCCTAGGGGAGTCGAAGTCGCTATAGTTCATATAGGAAAATACCCTTAAAATTTGCTAAAGAATCGCCCCCTGAAGTTTGGGAACGTCATTCAGATACACCTGTATAAGCACCGACATTCGTAACATTTCACGAACCTCAATCTCAAATTTAGATCATAGTCGCAAATTGTGAATTTTTGAGATGCATAAGTAGCTTCTTGGTATCTAGGTTCTACGCAATTTTTAATTTCGTTGTTTGATGTTCAGACGGTTATGTCCCCAGGTATTTGAATTAGTCTACTTTTCGAATGCGGCCAGGTTCTTTGTTGTTATCATCAATTTGTTTTTTCTTCTTTATGTTTTTTCTTCTTTTCTTCTTCTTTATTATATTCAACGGTTACATTGACTAACCGTTGTAACCCTTCCAAGTTGTCATCAATCAAGATTGTGTCACTGATGTATCGGATGTTGTAAATCCATAATTTTAATATCAATCTCAGCATCATCAAGTGCTTCTCGCAATACTACTTCTGAGTAAAGATTGAACAGGATTCTGATCAGAATGCTATTGGAAAGATTATTGTCGAATTTTATCCCAGGAAATCTGATGCCCAAAACGGATTTCGTTTTTAAGAAACTCTATTGTGCCTATTTCTTATCTGAAGCCAAACTGGATATCAGCTGTGTCCCTTTCACGTTTTTAATTTATACATTGATGAATTATTTTAAGGAAGATTTTTAGAGTATGGTTCATAAGGCTGATGAGTCGATATTTTTTACAAGTTCTGGACCTATTTACTTCAGGTAGTGGGATAAAGATAGGTTGTAGCCATTGTTGAGGGTAGTAACCAGTATCATAATTTGTGTTAAATATTTTACATAAAGTGGAATTTGAACTAGTTATGCATTCGTTGTTTTCAGATATCTTTGTGAGCTCGCTTCCGAATAGTTTTTCAATATATTTTTGCCAAACTTTGTTTTTCTCTTGAGAGTCGGAAACTATCCATCTGTCTTCGCCGACTAGCATACCCCTCTTGCTCTTTCTGGCAACACCAGATGTTTCCTTTAACATTTTGTGTAATTTGCAGGTGTCGTGTTGGTTTTGGATATGTTTGGTCTCTGCGCATTCTTGTTTCAACCATTCATTGGTGGTTGCTATTCACACCACTTATGAATTAAATCTTGCTAACTTAGCCGATTTCAAAAACATTGTCCGTCTTTATCGTATCATACCGTCCATTGTATCGCGGATGTAGTTATGTGGAAGTCGGCCGTGTTCACTTGTTGTAGTTGTAATAAAATGAAAGTTTAGCGGTGCATCCCTCAAGGCCGCTAACGCCGAATCTTTCTAGGTCTAGTGATAGCGTTTGGTTAATTCCGGTTTTAGTTGTTAATGGCCACTAATTATCGCTGTCCGCTAGGAACTGTTAAAACACATACATTCGAGCCTGAAAATAATTGAAATTTGTGTTCTTATTGCGGCTAGCCTCTTTAATTTGTTAGTTGTGTCCTTGGTAATGTGAACCAGTCACACACTGAAGAATACCATTTGATAAAAAAAAACAAAGACCTTTCAATAAGGAACGAAATCAGCAAGGAGGTGAACACGAAGTACGTCGCGACAGCTAACAGAGAGGATCTAACGAACTTACTTTTTACCTACACTTTTGTTATTGATTTGATAGTATATGTGACCTGGACTATGGAAAGGGAGTTTAGGTGTCAAGAGGTCGATTTTGAAGTTTTGAATCTTCTAATAGTGTAAAGTGCGGTCTTTTTATTAAACTTAACCTCAGCTTCGCAACTATCTTCGCGGCTGAGTTATTTGCATCGAAAGTTTAGTGTCTTTAAAAATTAGAAATGTAAAATTTAATTTTAGATTTTTTTTTCGTAGAAATAAAATTAAATTTTCGCACATAAACCCCCTTTCCGTAGTCCAGCTTTTAGCCACACTATGGGTACTACTTGCAAAATATTTGGCAGTAATATGTTTTAGGACATTCTCTACACGATGGTGATATCATATTTTCAATTGGCCGAATTATTTCAAAATGGCGACTGTCAACTTTTTTTTTAAATAGAATGCCAAAATTTTTTTATTATTGAGATCCTAAAAACATTCTTTTTACGATAGTATTTTGTTTTTCTTAAAAATTCATTTCTTTCCCCATCAAAAAGCAACCTAACATTTTACCATAGTGATTATTTATTTTTATGTGGTGGGCACTGGTTAACAACAAAATCTTTGTTTTACGTTTCCATAAACTTTATTATTAATTACACTTAAACTTAATACATATAAATTGCGATTAGTTATATAGCGAGAATTACATAGGGAGCCTTGCTCCGCGTGAATTGAAGGGGTACTGTTTCGGTGGGTGTTAAATCGAAAACTGACTGAATAACTGATACGAGTTGAGCTCGCAGACTCCTTCTTTATTTTAGGTCATAACTAAAAACCCTTTAAACACCGAAATATACACCCCAACGCATTCTCACACTTAACTCAACCCAATAAATAATGCGATAAAAAACCCTAATCTTGCGACTCAAGACACTTCAAATCCAGACTAAACAAATGAGGCGATACAAATAAATCTAATATGAACGAACTAATATAATATAAATCTATCAAATCTAATATAAATTAACCAATATAATATAAAATCTAACACATAGTGTGGCTAAAAAAAAATAAGGCGCTTGAATCAGGCTGTATATTAGTTGCTTTTGTATTATGTTTTGTATCTCTTGCCATTGTTCCATTCTTAGTAATAATGATTGTTAAAATATTAGAATTTATCTACTGTTTCTAGTCTCTTCTTATATGTATAAAAAAAGCAATTTTTCATAAATATACTACAGCGGCTGGAGAAGCATTATTTCACTACAATAATTTATTTGATATGTTATTTCTGTATACAGCATTTTCATGTCAACAGATGCGTATGTTAACGTATCGAGGTCCGCGAGTCCATAAGGAGTCGTTACCATTCCATGTCACGCGTACTTTTTCGGTAAATCTTTTTTCAGATATCTTTTGATTACGTTTATTCTTCAAGATTGAGCGAAGATGTAAAAGAGATAAGCAGATAGATAATTCGACACCTTGTCGTTCGCTTTAAAGACGTCTTCTGCTTTACTGTATTAATAACGGGTATGGGCGTTGTGGTAAATTATTGTGGACAAAATCCAAACTAGGTACGAGGAATTTTCGTCACGATGTTTGTTTGATGCCGCAGTTGCTTTCTATGGTACTTGGTCGTTTCCTAACGCACTTCTTGGGCAAGGTTCTCACTTCTGCAAATGTCCTTAGGTTGATTTTGTGGCCACCATCATTTTCTGGTAATCATCGTGACATAGGTTGTTGTTAGCTTTACTGTTAACTGCTTTCAAGTATTTGCTGATATGTTTGGAATATTGCGCTGTGAGGTTGGTAAACTGTTGAGCGGATTGTTTGGACAGACTTTGAAGTTAGTCAAGTCCGGCTCACCGCACTTTTTGGGTACTAGTACTTTAGTTGTCCGTATGTCAATGTGTAGCTTCACTCAATACAATTTTTATTTCATTTGAAGCACATATTATATTAGCACTTTGAAATAAAACAAGATTCATCTTGCACAGACATAACCAGATGTGTTAAGTTTAGCCTTAATTGGAATGAATTATTAGTATGTTTTAATTATAAATCTTTAATTTAATAACATAATTTAAAGTTGTTTGTTTTAATTTTAGGATTCAGAATTAGACACTCCACCAGAACAAATTCCAAGTCAAACATTTACCAATCAAAGTTATGTGCAAGGTCCGCCGCCTCCAATTCCAATGCCCCCACATTTCCAACCGTATCCGCAGCCGATACCTCCTCAACAACAACAAGCGCAGCAGCAACAACAACAACCCCCACCGCCTCAACAACTTTCGCCGTCCGTTCCTCAACAAACCAATAATTTGGATGAGGCGAACCATCATGATCATCAAATGAATGACGTACAAAAGCAACGGGGTGGTCGTCCGCGCGCTGTTGGCGGGAATCAACAACAACCGTTTTACGCGAATAACAACGGATATAGTAATCGACAGCGGCAAAATAGAAACGGCCCAGGACCGAGGTCATCGAATAATAATAACAGACATAACCAATAGCCAACGGAGCGCGACCTTCTTTCCTGTTTCCTAACTAATAATAACAATAGCATTTTCCAAGAAGCAGTTGTGTGAGAAGTTGAGATGTGTACAACGTCAATTTGCACGCAAATGCGAAAAAAGCGATATAAAGATGATGATGGACTAAAAAAAATTAAAAAAAAAAAATGAGACCGGCATAAATTATTAACAATAATGATAATAAAATTAAAAATAAAAAGAATAATTGGAAACGGGGATAACCACCTGTAAATCGAAATTGCGTTAAGTTATTATTATTATTTTTAGTTCATTTTGGGTCCCGCATTATAATTGTACATGTGTAAGTGAATGCAACACTGTTTAACAATTTTTCGTTTTCCTCAGTTAATAAGTGTAGTGTAATTAATTACTTATTGCACAACTGTATTCAATTTATACAGGGCAGTGTAAATATTTACCGTTTACGCATTTTATGTACTACTATTACTACAATGTATAAGTAGGTTTTCTTTTTGTTCTTCTTTCCAATAAGGTTTATGTAACACGGTTCGTTTTTACCTTTTCAGTATCGATGAACCCTAGATATTTAAACTAAAAAATAAAATATAATAGACGTTCATTCTTTCTAAGTGATACTATTTTGTTTTTCTTTTTTATGCGATCGGCAAATTTATTTTCATTAAATTATAAAATTTCAGACATTTAATTAAAGCGATTTTACCGCCGAAAAGTTGTTTTTGTTTTCTTCATTTTTAATCCTATAAAAATATTAACTATAATATTTTAGATTATCCATTGTTGCTAAAACTAACACTAGACCTAGAAAGTTTCTGTAAACAAAGAGCTATACGATTTACTGCAATGGGAACAGCGTTTACTGTCAAAACGAATTGGTAGGCGAAGTTAGTGATTTCAGGGGTTATGCACAATAAGAATGAGATTCAAATTATTTAATGCAACACTTCTTTGCGTGCATTCCCCAACTGAGGAGGCACAGGACAGGGTAATGATATTTTTTTGTTCCATTGCATCTACGTATCTGAAATTTAGTTTATGAATGAACTTACCATGTTCATTTCGATCTAAAGTATTTTCAAGATGGTAGGTACTTCCGGTTCACCAACAGTAGACCACAATACCGTTATTTTTTATAGTTTTTATTACATATTCAAATTCTATACAGAGACATCCTGTGTATCTTCCGCATCAGAGCATTATACGGTTGTAGGATACATTATTCTGAAGCGATCTTTCTAATAAAATTTTTACCAAAATGTTTATAATTAATGATCGGCCGATACAGATTTTTTTTGCCTATACCGATATTTTAGTTACCGATATAATATCGGTATCGGCACCACATTTTCTTATCCCAATCGCAATTTAAAGAAATTAAAGTTTGATTATTAGCGTCATGCATTTCTTGCAACTTTTATGTAAACAAACTATGTACTATACATATTAATATTTGCTGAAAATAGTTAAACTTGTTCCTTTTTGTTTTTTTAACTTGTTTTTGTGTTTTCCATCCTGTAACTCCTGAGGCCCGATTCTTGAATCGTAAGACTAGATTTTTATGAGAAAGTGACGCTACTCTTAGCATTATGTGAATTTTTGTATGAAAATGAAACCTCTACGGGTTGGGTTAGGTTGGTAAAAACGTGTTTTTTTCATTGACCAACAATTAACAAAAATTAAAAAGAAATAATTTCTAGTTGTTTAATATAAAAAAAATGTTGAATGGGTTTTTACTTTCAAATAATAATATAAAACAGTTAATCTTAAATAGGTATACCGATATTTATCGGCAAAATTTTGCCGATACCGATTATCTGCAAAATTTGATATTTATATCGGTATCGGCCGATCACTATTTATAATAACCGCACGGGAACTGTTTAAACGAACTGTTTTCGTCTAATAGCGATTCAACAAAATCTTAAGGAAACGCCTTCGGAGATCGTAAATCAATAGATTCGACACGGAAAGAGAAATAAACTTTTTTCGTGAATCCGCTATTGGCATCTTTAAACAATTCCCGTGCGGTTATTATAAACATTACGAAAAAAATTTATTAGAAAGATCGCTTCAGAATAATGTATCCTACAACCGTATAATGCTCTGATGCAGAAGATACGGGACCCTACATACAAAAATAGGTTAACTTTGATAAGGATTATTGATATCTAGAACTTTTCGTTCTTCAGTTATTTTCATTTTATTTTAGCAGTTGTCAATGTGTGTTTATTTTTAATAGTATTTCTCAGCCACAGTATAAGCAACAACAAAATTTAAAATTTGTATAATTACGCTTCAAATGTTCACAAATAAAACGTAGTTAGTTGTACAGGTCTATCTTATAGAGGCTGGTCAAAAATTGAATTATCATTGAAAATAATACATAGAATTGAAAATTATAAATAGAACGCCCATTTGTTATTAGGCTATCAAATAGAGAATTTAATTCTTTACAACTTATTAAAAGAGGTCCGTACACCTATCTGTTACAGTTATTAACTTATAAGGAAAGTTAATAAGATCATACGAAATACTATGTCGGAAATTGATTGTAGTGTTTGGATTCTTTTTGTGCATTTTACTACGATTAATGAATTATACAAGCTAGTAAGATAGTTAGATGTACACCAATAAATACAAAGTAGGTACCGCCTCATTGTCAAATAAACAATTATTTTCGTGAAACAAAATTAAGTACAAAAAAGTAAACAATCTCTTTTTACTGTAAACTTTTGAACATGTAATCAATAAATATAAATTAATACAAACACAACAATAAACAAAAAGATATAAATAATACAATTGAAATATTAAATTTCCACATGATCAGCTTCTTTCTCTATGCAGGAGATATTTCACACATTTCGATATCCCGAAATAGTCTGTGCTTCAGGATCAGAGCATTATACGGTTGAAGGATACATGATTGTGAAGCAATTTTTCTAATAACATTTTTTCGAAATGTTTATAATCGCAGGGGAGTTGTTTAAAGTCGTCCAATAGGAGATCGGCTGCTAATAAACAGTCCATTTTAAACAGCAAATGATATTTCAATACCTGAAGCAGTTGTAAATGATTATTTTTTTCACTACAGTATTATAGAAGTGACTAAAACAATGTTCGTAAAATATTTTAATTGTCTTTCTCTGCTAAAATTACAATTAATATTAATGTATTGTACAGCAATGCGTTCAGGAAAAAATCTCTATCTAATAACGTGAAGGAAAACATACCGAGCAATTTGAAAATCAAAAGTTGATAATCGCTTGAAATTGAAGATGGTGTTGGAGAAAGTTTATCTGTAGCATGAATCATAGTATTCATCAAACCATTTCATTTGATAGCTCGCTCATGAAAATCGGAATGTAAATGACCGAGTACAGCTTGGGACGTTATTTATCTGACATCCTGTATAATGCGGAACTTCTGAAACGGGAGACTCGTTTCGCAAAATTCATGAATTAAATAACAAGTAAACTCACGTTGCTATAGTAACTAAGTAGCATTTAGAGTTTTCCTCGCCTACTATAATTAAAAATTTAAATCTTTAATATTTTAGAATTGAAAAATAACGCTTATTTTCTGCAGATATATCATGCGTGCGATACATCATTCAAATATAGTTTGAATTTAAAAAAATACAACTTTTGTTATATCCAAAAATTATCAGCTATGTTTAAAATTTTTCAACGGCAATATAAATAAAATATCAAATAAATTTCAGAAACTTAGATGCAATGGAACACAAAATAACGGGTGTTGCTGACTTTTTGGCGGACACTGTATACTTGGTCTTTGTAAAATTGATCTTCTCCACCTTGTAACGACCTCCTTTACCCCGTTTTTTTTTCATATTTTCAATGTTCAGTATCCTGCATCTGTTACTACCTTTTCCAAGGTAATGTTAAAAGGAGAGTCCATCTGCATGTCGTAGACCTTCGTGGCTTTCAAATGTTCTGGTTAGATCCCTCGTGTTTTTATTTTACAGGAAACCTTCCTAAACGTATCATTACTACCATGATGAAGTCTAAAAAAAGGTCCATTTTCTGATCATATACTATAGTGTGCGGCAAAATTATGGAATAAATTAAATAAAACGCTTGAAAGGGTTAAACAATACGCTTAAGTAATAAAAGACATAATAAATTTTTATAGATTTTTTATTATTACATAATCTGTTATTATTAGTTTCTTAATTTATTTTAATTTCTGTTTCAGTTTGTCATTATCCTTTTTTACGTGGTACTTAAAATTGTTGTCAGATCCGTGTTCGCGGTACTTAAAGTGTTTGTTCTCAATTCCGCTTCGTAAAACCCTACAACAAACGATCGTAACCCCATAATTTAAAATATTACTTCAACTTATCTTTGTATTTTTGGTAATTTAAAAGATTTTGACGAGTTATAAGTACTATTACATGTTGATCAACAACCGGTTATTCCAGACGAACTTTTGTGTAGTGTGGAAAAAGCTAAAAGAGCAGCATAATGATTCTCTACACAAATTATTATTTTGAGCAATAATTATTCTATACATTCATACCTCGTTATACGGCCTCGTTATTATTATATTGATAATAAAATATTTCAATATAATATTTTAACAATGTAAAGAATTTTTTTATCAAAGTCGCTTGCAGCCGAGACCCAGTGGTTGACATTGTATCTACGTCCAAATTTGCGCGCAGCAGAATAGTGTCCTGCGAACGCCGCCTGTTGCTGCCGCGCGATGTGTGGATTATAGCGTGGACACATCCTTACAAAGAAATGAGCTCCGTCCTTTATTCTCCGGCAGATAACGCATCTACTCCTGACTGTTACGAGCTCAGACGGTTAAACCAAATTAGGGGAATTACAGAGTTTAGGCCGTAAAACAAAATAGGGTACTATAAGGTTAAAAAAGTCGTTATAGAGAGGCCGCATAGAGAGGTAAATTTTTCAACGAGTTGAGATATCGTGTTGCGAGTTTTGAGCCAAACCATGTCGACTTTTTTTTGAAGCACATTAATAAATATTATGTTCAGCACAAAACTATGTTAAGTTTTAACAAAAAATACTTTTTAAAACTAGATGTAATTTGATTATGAAAAGTAAAGAAAACATATTTTGTAAGTTTATCTAAAATTATTTATTAAAATTTGTAATGCGGAATCATTTTTAATATCTCGATAAGTTTTTGAAAAAAAATTAGATTTTAATGTTAAGCTTAAAAATTGTTCGTTTAGTATTTAACTTATTTTGGTTTATTAATAATCGTGTTTATTATCCTAATTAATCACTTATTGTCACTGCCAACAACCTTTAGATTTACAATATCTATTCACAGTAACTTACATAATCTATTCCTAAGGGCTTCTCATAATTAATACACATCAGGTTAATTTAGATTAGTGTTATTCTTTAATACAATCGTTTATTATTGAATATTAATCACTTATAATTTACAGGAAAAATCATCGTAAACGTATTGGCAAGGCAATAAAATCAATCTTTTTAAATTCATCATATTCAAAATAATCTATATTGTTTTCTTAAATTGGGAACATATTGTTACAGATAAAAAGGAAGGTTATTTACAATGAAAATAGATTCCTATAAATTAGAAAAAAACTTTTTAAATTCATACATTACATATTACAATTAAACATCATTTTCTTCTTATTAAAAGAGAACATACACCTACCTTATACAAAAAAAAAATAATAAAAGGTTTAATGTAATTTCTTGTTTCAAACGTTCCAAACTAATTTCATGTCCACAATACTTTGATCAAGAATTTGTCCCAAATACTTAATCACATTTTTTTTTTTTAATTTGCTTGCGAATGCAACGAACAATTAATTTAATTTATTTATTTAAGCATATACAGAATGTTTATATGGAATAGAAAACTTTCCTCAATAAAAAAACAACTAAAATCTTATAAAAACATATCTTTAAGAATATTTTCAAATCAAAATAAACATTCCGCACATACAGCTTTTCACCTATTATCTTCAATTTCTTTAAGCCCAGTTTCAAAACAACTTAAAATTTTAAAGTTCACTTTAACGTGTTACCCCGACCACCTCATAAAGTGAAATATTGAAATTTTCTTGTTTAACACCAGTTTCATAATCAAGTTTCATTTAAATTTAAAATTCACTTTAACGGGGTTTTCAACCCAAACTTATTTTTTTTAAATTGCTTAACGCGATTAGCTAAAGATAAACTATCTAATCAAAACTATACCTTTAATGATATACTAGATAGCTTCCTTTAAAGGTGGGTCCAAACATTAATTCTGCAGTGCACAAATTTGAATATACCAAAGAATGTTTGCGCGGCATAGACACGCCACGCACTTACTAAAAATGTTCGCGAGCGCTAGGTAATGTCGTATGCCACGTTTGAATGCCGCTCTATGTTTGGACACACCCTTACAAAATGACTAAAAAATAAATAATAAAATTGAAATCCTATGTAGAAACATATTACAAAATGGTGACACTGCCAGTCTGAAAAAGTGTACACCTTAATTTCAATAAATATTAGCAATACTACTTTGCGATTCAATAAATTCTTAGCAAAAAACAAAGAGTAATAATGCAGACTATAATTTTGGCTATCGTTATTGTTAACAAAACAAATTTCTTTAATATTAAATTTCAACATGAAAATCTATGAGGTTCTACATGGAATACTACAAAATAATCAAAACTTGCTTCAGCCAGCCAAAAATGTGTAATCAATCAAAGTCTACAAATTGAATTCTTGCACTATTTTGAGTTGGGTGAGTACTGGTGTGAATGAATGGAACAATTAAATTTAAAGTTTGATTATGAATCTGGTCCTTAATATATCTCAGACTTTACAAAAATTGTTTTGTTTTCTTCTTAATGATATTTATTACGTGATTTTTTAGACTTAGCATTCATACCGTTCTTCTCAGTAGAGATGGTGTTAGTGGTTGATTGCGGCTGAAATTGCCCTCTAGTTGTTCGTTGCTGCTGTTGCGACCCCCCCAGGTATGGTATCCGGAATAGTTCGATGTGTAAGTGGTCGCATATTTCGTGACATATTTGGTAACAATATCTGTATAGGTCGAAAGTAACCCATATCTGTAATAAAAATACAACATAAATAGTTAAATTGGCAAATAAACTATGTTGATAGTTTATACATAGAAAAGACTAATTTAAGAAATATGTTTGGTTCTCTAGAAATTTATTACTTAAATCACATAATCAGTTTATTAATTAATATACAGTACGCGACACAAGGATTGTTACAGATTGAAAATTCTTGTAGATATCGTTCAATAGATTTTATATTGAATTCGTGACTTCAAGGGCCTCTCGTAGCTATTTCATTTTTGCCGCTCTTATGTTATTCTTCTCCTTATTTGTATAGTTGTACGTTATTTTTTTCGTCAACTTTTGAGATTACCTTTACCTTTGTTTTTACTTTATTCATCTTCATCCCGTTCATAGTGTGTATATTATTCCAGTTGTTAAGGCTTCCAGCTATTGAGTTCTTCTTATGATTCCGCTAATATAATCGGCGAAACACATTCAGTAATTTTCATCGTTGTAAAATTTCTCCTGCCAACAAATCGTAATTTTGCTACTCCTTCATTAATGACAAATTTTTCTGATGTTTGGTTGTTGCTTATGACCCGATTGCAACACATTTTGTTTACCGTTCTTACAAGTTTTAGACCTTCAACCTGTCTTCTTAGGCACGCCCACAGTTTTTTTCCTTGTTACGTGGTCAAATGCTTTCTTTCTTCTATGTTGCTATAATCTAGACCTGCTACTGTTATTTTGCAACTGATTATTTCTTTGAGTACAAATACATGATCTTGTGTAGTTCTACCATTTCGAAATCCGCTGTGTCAACTCCAACAATTGCGCTTCTATAAATATTCTTAACCCTTTTTCAATTATCTTTAGTCCTACGCTTAAGTTTAATAGTTTCACTGCTTTCATGACTTCAGTACCTTCTGTTTAATCTGTTTCTTGGTCTTTTGTTAAGCCTGTGCCTGTAGTAGTTCTTCAAAATGTTGTAACATCTTCCTGTCCTCTCTAAGATTCTTAATAGCTCGGAAAAACAGTTTTTGATCGTTGTTTCTTTGTTCTCCCAACTTCTTACCAAACTCGTTCCATATCTACTCCTTTGCGCGAGTAACTAACTTCTTAGTTCTGCGTTGTTTTATTTTGTACCACCTATGTTCGGAATAGGTGCAATGTATCCGTAAAGTTATGGTTCACTTTTGACCGGTCACAGGAAAGCAACAAAGCAATCTTCACCAAATAAAAGGAAAACTCTCCTAGTTTCATACCTGTTTGGTGAAATTCGATGTGGTCTCCATTTGTTGCCCTACACACCTCTAAACGTTATCGAGCACACGCACAAGCAGTTTTTTTAGGACTCCTTAGGTAACTCTCCTGTATAGTCTCTATAAGCTCGTCACTTGCCGATGGCCTACCAGAACCAGAACGGGCTTCTGCCGGTATTTTTAACTGCTTATTTCACCGAAATTGTTCCGAAATTGTAGCTCTGGTCAATCTGTATGCTCTGATAAATCGCCGAAGTAAGTTGGATCCTCTCCGGAAGATTCGACTCTACTAAGCGGTTATCAGACCTGCGATGGCATACGCTTCTTCAGTCTGGGGTTACGCCGCGCACTCGCACCTGCAAAAACTCCAAGTGGTTCAGAACAAAGTCCTAAGGATGGCATTCGATGCTCCTTGGTTTGTCAGTAATGCGACACTGCACAATGATTCCCAGATGGTGACCATCGAGGAATTCATTCTTAACAAAGCCAGTACCGAGTTTACGCGGCTCGAAGACCACCCAAATCCCCTCCTAGCGGGATTAACGGATTACGACGTTGAACACCTTCGCCATAAACGGCCAAGGCTGCTTCTCGTCTGACGATCCGGGAACCCGACTGTCCTTTCCAAATCCACTTCCGATATCGCTAATTTAGCGAATATTAACTAATATATTTTCCGTCTGTTTTAGATCCGATGAAGAGGGTTAAGGAAGATTCCAGGAACCTCAAGAGGCCCGTCAAGTTCACCGTTCACCGTTCAGCTGCCTCATCAGCATTTGCATCGCGGGCAGCATCAGCGATATGTACATCGGAATATCTTCCACGGCGTTTCGTTTCAGTCGGGCGGCTTGTCGTGATTTTAATTTAAGAAAAGCCTCCGCATCCTCTCCTTGCTGTTGTTGTTTGGCAAAGTACTGTCCATTTATTGAGGCGAGTATGCGGGCGTGGTTGAAATGAGCGACGATTTCCGTTTTGAGTTCATTGAACGTTAAGTTGAGGTCATTGAATTTACTATACCACTTAGCGGAGTTTCCCGACAAACAAGCGGTGGCGATTTTCATTTTCTTCGCCTCAGGAATTTCCAGTCTGATGAAGTGTGCCTCTAGGTCTGCCACAAATTTTTCTGGGTCCTCGATGGGGTCACCGTTAAACGTTGGGGTGTCATTATCTTCAAGTTGTAGTTGTTTTGCCAGCCCTATCAATGGGTTGATGATGTTCGTCAAGTCCATCTTGTTGACGTCTGGCTTGACGACAGGTTCCGCTGTTTGCATCTCCGTGTTCATCGTAGGGGTAGGTTCCTCTTCTTCGGAAGAGCTGCTTGGTGCTTCTCGGTACGTTATTGAGCGGGATTGATCCGCAATACGTAAACTTCTTCTTAGTTGTGAAGTAGAAATTTTCGGCATCAGTGCAGAGGAACGTTGGGCGCCAATTGTTACNTTAATGAATGAGTGCTTTAAGTCTTATGAAACGTGTTTTTTATGCTATTTTTTGTAATTCGCGTTTTTATACTTTTTTTTAACAAAAATAAAGTAAATTTTGGCAATGTAGGGAAATAGGTATGTAGCAGTTGGTAACACCGGAACACTTGAAAATAGAAACTTTGAATTGACAATTAGAAACTGTCAAAACACAAAATATATTCACCTGAAAAAAATGTTTGATGTACACCTCCCAAAATAAGAGAAATTGCTCAGAGTCAATGTCCACATCATTGTGGACTTTGTATTCGATACTACGTGTTTAAACAACCATAGACAAAAATTGTCACATTGACAACTAGAAAAATTAATGACCCAATGTCACCAACTTGAACTGGTTCCATAAAATGTTACTAAAATCTCATTACAACATCGGATGCTGTAAGGAGTCTCATTACAGCACCCGTTTGAGTACTGTTATAGCTTCCATTACCGTAGCGAATTACAAAAAAGTCTTTTACGTCCTGTTGACAAAAAACTATCGTTTTGACGGTCGCTAAGTACTACGCAAAAGTCAACTTTTAATAGCAGTTTTCGAAAAAATAATTTAAAAGTACTAATTCTATTTTTTGTACTTTCACATTGCCTATCTTTTTTATACCGGTTTTTAACTTTTTAAATTTTTACAATTTTACTTTTAATAATATTGCAAATGATTATGACTTACCAAACACAACCATAGAACGTAATATTCCGGTATGAACACGTTGAAGTATTGGTTGAGGAACAACATTGCTGGACCGAGCAAGGACCAGTCCATGTAGTCCATTTCACTTTTCGTCATATGAGCTACCTATTTAAAATGTAAAGAAAAACATGTAAAACTATATGGATATTACATAATAGTGTTTCTAATATTGGAATGCATAATATTCAGAAAACGTGCTGTGTGGACGTGAATAACCAAGAAATTTTAATAAAGATATACTTGGTTTAAGGAATTTATTTTTACGTAGAAAACATGCTCTTGTATTTTCTCTAAATAAATCGGTTTTGGAATTATTTACATTTTAATTTTTCAATGGAATTTTATGTCTATAACTTTTTAATAGTAAACAATAAACGTAATAGTAAATAAAAAACAATAAACAAAACCCCGTACTTTCCACGAATGGCACCTATCGAGTGCTTCGTCCCGACTATACGATACGACGCGACGTATAATCGGTATCGTCTTATCCCATAACGCGCAGTTAATAAGGCTTTAGGAAGATTAAAGGACAAAATTACGCTTGTTTATCTTGATGATATACTAATACCATCAACAACAATCGCAGAGGGTTTACACTATTTGGAAACGGTTCTTAACGCTTTACAAAATGCTGGATTTTCATTAAACGTGCACAAATGCCATTTTCTTCAAAACGAAATTGAGTACTTAGGTTGGGAGATATCAGCTGCTGGTATTCAGCCGAGTCGTCGCAAGGTTAAAGCAATAGTGACTACCAACTCACCAACAACAGTAAGGCAATTTATGGGTTTGGATGGCTATTTCAGAAAGTTTATTCCTAACTTTGCAACACGTACTGCTGCAATATCTAAGCTGACGAAGAAAGACGAACCTTTTAATTGGAATTAAAAACAAGAGGCTGGGAGACAATACGTTATAGACTGCTTGACTTCGAAACCATTGCTATCTGTGTTTGACGCCAAATTGAAAACAGAACTTCACACAGATGCCGATTCCACGGGATTCGGAGCTATGCTAATTCAGAAAGATGAAGGAAATACATATGCATGTAATTGGGTATTTCAGTAAAAGTTACATGTTCAAGTGTCTTGTATGTTTTAGAATGAGCCAAGAAGCTGTTTCAAACATTGACAATCCGAAGGACTCGCAGAATCCAAAGAACGTTGCTTTCACGGAGTAGCTTCGAGAGCAAAGCTAGTCAGGATTGACCGTATTAGCAATTAGGTGTTTTAATTTAAAGATTTTTAAAAATTGTTATTTAATTTGATATTTTGTATATAATAATACATAATATGAATTGATTCTGTGTTGCCACACGGAAAGGAAACAGTTTCTCTCCCTGTTAATCTTTAAAAGATACAAATGATTCTTTTCACAAAGGCGTGAAGTACGGATTATATTTGTGTACCTCATCTCGCTAATGCTTACCTAATTAATCGCTAGTGAACATGCAGATTTTATTCTAAAATCTAATACACAAGGGAAGATCGTATCTAGATTCTGAAGAAAGTGCGTTTAAACGCAAGTCGCATGGGATCAAAAACTTAATAATTAATGATAAATTTCGACGTTTCGCAAATAATTCTAAACCCTGAAACGAAAGGAAAGTAGAACCCGTTACCTAGTCCATAATTCTTACTTACGTTATTAGGCTGTTTCTTACTAGTTATGAAGGACATAAATGTATTTTAACGTGTCTGGAACATTTTGGATGAGTGGATTTCGTATCATTGCAAGAAAACAGCGTTCTTTACACTGACGAAGAAAGTTTGTATTTTTTATAACGCGGACGTAAACCGAAGCTCCTGAAAGGTGACGTATTCGAGTTTGCAACAATTTGGAAAGATTGAATGAACAAAAAAGTGACCAATAGATTGGCCGAGAATGTCAACCAAGAATTCAACGACAGCTATATTATCAACTCCTAGAACCCGTGTGATTAGATATGTCCAAAGGCATTCATCAATTTCCAGAGTAAGAAAAGGAATAATTTACTTAAAAAATCGAAACTGATTGCGAAGATGCGGATTTCGACGATGACATCACAAATGTAAATATCCGAACAGATAACTTTGCGTCAGTAACAAAGAAAGAGTGGGTTTAAGAGAAAAGCCATTACAAAAATGGAGAAAGTTAAAACCTCGCAAGCTTCGATGATTTTTCAATCGTAAAAGTGTCCAAATGTGTCTACGATTCGATGAGTGATTAATAAATTTGAATAGACTGGGTCACAGGACATAATTCTGCTGCGCGCAAGTTTGTACATATCAAAGAATGTATGCGCGGCAGTGGTACGCGGCATATGCGAATGTTATGTTTGTGTCTATGTTCAGAACCGTGGCGAACATTTGTGAGTGGCCTATAGAGAAAGTCTAGCTGGTGCCGCAATAAGGTAGTAATTACGAAGATCAAGAAGAACGTAACTGTCATACTTGAAATCTTAAACAGTTTCGCAATAACAATAAAAATATTGTCATTGCTACATTTTGATATTATAGCATATAATTAATAAACCTTTTTGATTATTTATATTCCCACACAGTACTTTCTTTGAAAATTAGGGGTCGTTCTCAATAAGCACGGATGTAGTTTATATTTATTAAAAATTGTTACTTACCACTAAACGGTTTGTTACTTTAGCGGCTACCATACCAAAAGCTAAAATGTAAAGGGCCGGATGTTCTTCGTAGATGTGATCCACTGATTTCTTGTATATTATAAAAGCTGGCAGGAGTACAGCCGAGAATGGAATTATAGGAGATAATACGCTAGTTCCCTAGTCAAAAAAAATATCTTAGAACTGATTTACTAATAGTAAAGAAAAATCGATTTCATAACAAAAGACGTAGTAACTAACATACATATTCTTAAAATATGAAATATAGATTATAAAATCGACTTTTGAAATTAACAAAATTCACATTTAAAATAGATATTAAATTCATTACATATTTCATAAGTTAGGTCTTTATGGACGAATACCAAGTTTATAAAGGATGAGCTTAATGAACAAAGTCAATAATTTTGGATGAGTTCATAAAGCCTAATTATAAAATTTATATCCGACTGCAATGATTAAAATTTACAAGTTATTTACAAGTTTATGTTTTAATTTAATAATCAATAATCAGGCACAGTCGGACATAAAGTGTGTTTTATTACAACATTTACAACCAAATCAAACTAACTTAAACTATTCAAATTATATTTTACACTACTTAATCACCATGCATACTTTAATTACCGTCATCACAAAAAGCAAACAACAATCAGTATGTACATCCAATAACTAACATAAATTTGTTAACAAAAATATTAATACAAAGCAAGAATTGCAACTGTTGCGAAACAAAATGGAAGTAAATATTTAAAAATAAAGAAATGATCGAAAGGAGAACAGTATACAGGGAATTTATAATAACTATCAATAATAATAATGAAATTTCTAGAAATGTATTTCTATAAAACAAATGACAGAGGTTGACAGTGGAGCGATCTTACTGCCACTGTTGATCCGTTTTTCCCAACACCGCCGGTGAATATAACCGAGATGTTCGATCTGGCTAGGTAGATCGCCATTAGACATGCTATTACCATCGGGATGTGTCTCAAGTCCATCTCCAGACCGGCGATCTTTTCGGTCAAATTAACCACAATTAGCCAAACAGACAACACACACCGTTATATAATTTTAGAGCGATAAATTCTTGTTTATGACCTCTTACAATTAGTTAGGTTTCTAACTAAAACAATTTAATACAATTAAAATATCTACCTCCGAAATATACCAAATTCCTTCGAATTATTTTAGATGTTATCGCTAAAACCCGAAATCAGCCAATATATGATTTCTCCCGTCAAAACCAGTTAATACAACGTTGGACTGATTTCAATTTTAGAAAGTCATCTACAGGAATAGTTACGCAAAAAAAGTTACGCTTCACTTTTAATCAATTTTAGTTTTGATACTTTCTTTCTCAGATCATTAAAGTAGTTTTGACGGAACGTAACTTAAAATCCGTTCTAATTTTAGCTTATTCTTATTAAGTGAAACCATCAATTAAAACTAATTGTCAGGCCAATTCTAGTTTTGACTAATGTCGGGTTCTACCGTTTTTCGTTAAAACTCGAAACATACCTATACATATATGTATTACAAAGTAATTTTTGGACCGCCCTGAATAATTTCTGTATAATAGAGGCCGGGTTTCACACCAAAGCTGTATGCTCACATAGTACACCCTAAATATTTGTTGTTTTTTTAACAGTATATGCTTACTAATACTATCGAGTGTGTGTTCTCCAGCGTATTAGCTTGGGTCCATAGAAAAACCAAAGATTAAAAAGTGGTACAATTGTGGTATATTACCCCAACAAATTAAGTTCCCGACAGAATTTATTTCAGCAAACTGTGAATTCATGTTGTACATGGGAATACGTTTTCCTCGAATTTTTTAATACGTGAATTCCCAAAAACTAGATATAGCTGTCTACACTTCCAAGTATGCATTACACTGGGGAATAATCTGTACGATAATTTTTGTTAAGTTTGATATTTGAGCTGTTTTATAGGGAATAAGGATGCTGGTTGCAAAACTGTAGTTATTTTTCTTATATTACGTAAATTTTTTTCTCTACAATCATGGGCCTCTCACCAAATGTGTAATTTTCATTTCAAGTGATTGTTACTTTTATGTGGCGAAAATGTCAGGATATAACAAGAAAAACAAATCTAAAATAGAGTAGTATATAAATAGATATAGAGTACCTTAGTTGAGCATAAGCTGCTTCATTCAGCTGAAATCCCAATCGCAGTTTTCAATGAATTATCGTCTTTGAAAATGCGGGAATACGAGTTTGGTGAAGATCGAATGTGAGGATTAAGCTCTTAACAGCAATACTGCACGAAAAAAACTTGATTGAAAAGGGTGGTAAGGTATCCTATTCCCTTTCCGCAACAGTTTCGAAGTGATGAATTTGTGTATTGCCATAACGTACATGGTTTAGTTGAGGAGTTGATTTCGGCCTATACCGCAACTGATTGACGATTCTTTATCGATAGCTCAAAGCGGAACTTGAAGTGTGTTTATATGACTGATTTAATGGCAATTTATTTGGTTCAGTCCAGATAGGTCGTTTGAGTGAAGAATGTGCAGATATAAAGAGTCATTGATTTGTTGCACTATAAAAATAAATTTTAATTAATTTTAAGTAAAAATTTTAAAGGACCCGATTAAATGAGAATATGAAGGACAAATCGCTGGTAGATCGTGCGTAGACAATGTGTTTGTCTTTAAACCGATGATCAAAATAAGGATCGCCACCAATTGAGAAATCCATTTATTATTAACAACTGGAAGAAGAAGTGTAGAAGAATGGGGGTAGAATTAAATGATAGAGTATTCAGTCTGTAATTGGCAGATCGCGAAACTAAGTTGATATATGTATACATACAGGGTCGCTGATATGTATGGAAACGATCGATTATCTCCTAAAGTAAGATAGCTAGCGAAAAATGTTAAGATACAAAAGTTTTAGTGTTTTTTTAAATCTATTACAAAAAAAGACAAATTAAGTACACAGGGTCAGTCAAAAACTTATGACGAAACAAAGTTACGTATTCTCTAATGGAACACCCTGCATATTATTCCATGTTTCAGTTCATCTCGAAATTCTAAACAAAATTCATGTAGTACTTCATAGATCGAGCTTTTAAAAATTTACAACTTTATCTGATTAGTTATGTAATTTACCTTTTGGGCGCAAATTATTCAAACTATTTTTGTATTTTTGACATGTGTTATATAACTGCGATGCTGTAGAGATGAGAAACTTTCATAGGTAATTTGATGAATTATGAACCTAATCGAGGAAAATATTTTTGTGTAATTTATAAGAGTGATTTTCAAAGTTCAATATCTCGAAAACGGTAACCGACCGTTTTCATGCATATCATCGAGTAAAACATTCATGCGCTATTAGATTAAAATGTTAATTTGCTTTTTAATGGGGAACAAAATGAATTGAAGTGAGCACTTCGAACCAGTTTCTGAAGAAGGTTGCAACATGGCATCCGAAACGTCAAACCTTTTCTTAAAAGACGCACGGCAAAACCCGAAAGTTTCTAGTGTTAGTTCTAGTTTTAGTTCTAATTTTAGTTCAAGTAATAAATGTAAATTTAAAGGTGTTTATTTAATATTTTTAAATTTTTTAGTTTTGTGAAGTAGTTTTTGAAGTGCGCGTAGGATCAGGAATGTATTCTTTGGTGATAAACGCATCTCTTAAATGCATTTTATTATTACTACTGTGCATTTAATATTTCCTCTTATTATAATGCGTCAATATAATACACCATTATTGTCTAAGGAAATTTACAAAGTAGTGAATGTTTGGTGTGAAACCCGCCTTAAAAAAATTATACATACATTTTTATATAAAAAAGTCTTTACAATTAGTAAAGAAAGACGTATTTAAATTGTTTAAACATATGTTCTAAACAATAATATCAAAAAATTGATAAAATGGTTGGGAATGCCGACAAAAATAGACACATACATACACAGTCACACTATGTGTTAGTAAATGTGAATAGTTTCCGCGACAAGAAGAAATAAAAATAATAAAAAGGAAAAAAAAAAAAATCTTACTGCGACTGTAGAACCATTCTTGCCGCAACCTCCGGCTTTTATCGCACCGAGAAAAACGACAAAATTTTTTGTGTACCCCGCCGAAAGTATCCAGCAAACGAAATGGTTTAAGGGAAATCCGACCACCTATAAGAAAGATAGAGAAGGAAAGAAAAATCTACGTGCACTACAAACAATTTGGCCCCAAATGGTACGTGAAACTCCTCTTTCAACATATTCCACTTTTACCTTTTAACATTATTAACCAAAAAAAAATTATCAACCATTACAATTAAAAAGGTACATATCATAATCGTTTTTACTTAAAATGGTTAACAACGGTAATACTGTTGCAACCAACTTCATTTTATTTCACCATTGCGTAAACAACGAGATTGTAAAAGTCCTCAAAGTTTTATCTTTATTGGATTGTTCTTTTCTAGACATGAAATAAATTCCATTCACCCTGTATAATTTTGGTAAGAAGAGAAGCTATCAATGGATAAATATTCGTAAATGCCTAATGTGTTTAAAATTAAATCATTTAAGTAATTTTTAATAATTATTGAGAAATGTGTATCTCGGCTCATTAATATCATTTGTACTTTGGCACTTACGTGAGACACCGTATAAGCATCAATATCTTTGAAAATTCCTAATACTATTCCACGATTAATTCGTTTACAGAACAAATTATTTTGATGCGATTATTTTGTATGTAAAATATTTTCGAAAATATTTGAATACAGAGTGGCCCATTGAAAACGAGTTAAAGGGTATAACTGTCATGGAAAGATTTGATCGAAAAAAAACCTGAAACACGTCAAGTTTGTTTCTCGGGGAACAACTTTGGCATATATTAAGATTAGCTGTCCCTCTTAAAAATCGATGAATTTTTTTTTAATCGGTAGGAAATGACTCAAAAGATGTGTTAATGATAAAAAAAAAGTGCGGAAAAGTGTAGTACTTACCGAAAAATCACTTTAAAGTTGCGATTTGACGTTTCTTTTTGGAAGTTAAAAGCAATGTTAAAATTGCATTTTCGTATTAAATTCTAACCTGAAATTGTTTAATTTATACCCACGCACAAAATAAAAAGTTATTTTCACTAAACTTGTTGAGATTACAACATATTTTCGGATGAAAACCTTGTTTCTTAGGCTATCGATGCAGAACGACAATTAAATGGCGTTAGATAGAATTGTTTCTACCAAATGTGTATTAATAGACTTTGTGTTAATGGATTGTGTATCAATTGATCTGTCAAATGACTGAAAGCTCTTTGCAATCTTTATGTTGTAAATATAAATGATAAATAAGTATAGTAGCTTATTTAATAGTAGTTTAGTTAAATTAAAATAGTTATTAAAAAAGACATGGTTACAAAATAAAAATAAATAAATAGCCCGTGTGACGATAGCAACAAACTGTGTATTTAACCAAATGACAATTACAACTGACAACACAAGCAATGTTAACCATGTATTTTCTCGTATTAAATCCTAACCTCAAATTGTTTAATTTATACCCA